ACTCCCTGAGGTTATACACCACAACCAGAGGAAAGATGGTCCCCCATCCTATGAGAAAGCAACGGTTCACCAGAATGCCAACAGGAGTGCTGTTACCAACTGAACAACCATCTCTGGAAAAAAAAGAAACTTCTGGATAAACCCACTACTTTCATTGTATTATTTATGAATAATTATGTTGCTTCCCTCTGTGCCAACCCTGTTCTAGGACCTAGCGATACAGCAGTGAACAAACCAGACCAAAATACCCGCCCTCACGCATGTTTACAGTTGCAGGAGGAAAGGGACAGACAGTATATACAGAAAAGGGAGACAGAGAATGTTCATGGCCATGGCGAGGGCACCGTTTTAAGTAGGGTGATCAGAGAAGTCTCTCACAAAGAGGGTGACATCTGAGCAAAGACCTGGAGGTGAGAAGAAAGCAAACCATGTAGGTGTGCAGAAGGAGGAGGCACGCAGATCCAATCCAGTGAGAGAATGTGGAACTGGTGGGAATGCTGGGACGAATACGGTATGCTGTGTTGAGGTGAGCTTGGGGCTTACCGCAGGCACTTTCACCTGGGAGTAGGGAGGGGAGGAAGAGGAGGCAGCCTGAGGGCTAAGACATGGAGCTGGAATTAGGATATTGTGGTGAATTTCTGCAACCCTGGGCTTCACAGCCATATAGTCAATAACACCCTATTCATCTTGGCACTATTGACTTTCTAGGCTGGATAATTCTTTGTTGTGGGAGATGTGTTGTGCATTGTAGAACATTTAGCAGCATTACTAGCCTCTACCTACTAGATACCAGTAGCACTGCCCCTCACCAGTGGCAACAGTCAAAATGCCAGTCTGAACTGGTTTTGTTTGTTTGTTTGTTTGTTGTTGCCACCCCATTTGGAAGTGGAATGGAGCCAGCCTGGCCTCCGGTGAGATTTGATTCTTATACTTTCTTTCCCTCCAGCTAGCCAGGTGTGGGAGCTCTGGAGGAAAAGAGAGGCTGAAACGCTCATCTGGAGTTGGACTCTAGGCAGGTGGGAGGGGCTGGTTGGTATCCAGTCTCTCTATCTGCTGCCAAACATGGGGGCAGTCGAGACTACTCATCACACCCTGCGTCTCACTAAAGGGGCACAAGGGCACGTGAAAAAGAGGACATGTAAACCAGAACCAAGGGCCAGCCCTGACAATAGAAAGCAGGGAGGGAGATGGCTCGGAGCATGCAAAGGGCCTGGATGGATATGCACACTGGGGAATGGCCCACATGACTGGCCATGATTAAATCCTTATTGGGTTTCCCTTAAGATATTGATAAGCTGCTGATGAATACCTTATATTGTGAGTGGCCCAGCAGAGACTTTTCCAGATTCAGAAACTTTGTTCAATACAGGGGTTATCCCTTTGGAAGACATGTGAAAATATGCTTAACATCACTAGCCATCAGAGATGGAAATTAAAACCACCATGAGACATCACCTCACACCTGTCAGAATGGCCATCATTATAAATCAACAAACAACAAGTGTTGGAGAGGATGTGGAGGAAAGGGAACCCTAGTGCACTATTGGTGGGAATATAGACCAGTGCAGCCACTGTGGAAAACAGTATGGAATTTCCTTAAAAAAAAACATTAAAAATGAAACTGTCTTGACTCAGTGATTCCATTGCTGGGAATATACCCTAAGAATCCAGAATCACCAGTTCAGAACAATTTAAGTACCTCTATGCTCATAGCAGTGCTATTTACAATAACCAAGTGGTGAAGACAGCCTATATGCCCATCGGTAGATGAAGGGATTAAAAAATTATGGCCCTGGCTGGTGTGGCTCAGTGGATTGAGTGCCGGTCTACAAACCAAAGGTTCACCAGTTCAATTCCCAGTCAGGACACATGCCTGGGTTGTTAGCCAGGTCTCCAGTAGGAGGCATGCAAAAGGCAACCACACATTGATGTTTCTCTCCCTCTCTTTCTCCTTTCCTTCCCTTTCTCTCTAAAAATAAATAAATAAAAAATTAAAAATAATAATAAAAAACTGATGGTACATTTATACAATGAAATACTATGCAGCAGAAAGAAAGAATTCCTACCTTTTGTGACAGCATGGTTGGAACTGGAGACTATTATGTTGGGTGAAATAAGCCAACTGCTAAAAGACAAATACCATATGATCTTACCTATAAGAGGAATCTAATGAACAAAATAAACTAACGAGCAAAACAAAACCAGAGACATGGAAACATGGAACAGACTGAGAACTGCCAGGAGGGAGGGGTGAGGGAGGGAATGGCGGAAAGAAGGGGAAGGGATTAGCCAAAGAACATGTATGAATGACCCATGGACATGGACAACAGTGTGGGGAATGACTGTGGGAGTGGGGTCGGGGGTGGGATGGGTGGAAGAAGGCAAAGGGGAAAAATTGGGACAACTGTAACAGAATAACAGTAATTTAAAAATATCCATCAAGAGTGGAATAGATCATCTGTAGTATAATTATATAGTGGAAGACTATGCAGAGGTGAGACTGAATGGAGTATAACTAACTACAGACAACATGAATGCATCAAGCAAGCATTAAGCGAAGGAAGCCAGGCACCAAAGACAATACCATAGGATTCCATTTACAGAAATTTCAAAAATAGCCCATACTAATTCATGGTCTTGGAAATCAGAATATTGACTGCTATTGGGTTAACAACTTGAATAGGGAATGAGAATGGATTGTGAAATTCTGGAATGTTACATTTCTTGATCTAGTGCTAGTTATACAGATGTATGCACTTTGTGAAAATTGAGCTATATACACATGATTTGCATACTTTACATATGTGAGCAAAGGGTCAATGGCAGGCCTGAACTGTTTTTCTCCCAGACCTAGACTTACCCGTCTGAGAGGATTTTAGGTTTGCCTTCATCCAGCACGAGTCCTTCGGATATGTCCCAAGTTGAGGGGCATCTGGAATGTTGGGTACCAGGGCCAGACATGTGTTTTGTACTCTGTGAAACTTCTGATCTGTGGAACAGCACATGGGTTGGGAGGCCCATGAACTTCAGGCCTACATGGCAGCAAGGAACCAAGGGGAGAGCTTCTTTGCATCAAGATGAACACCACGCACCATGGTCTCACAACCAGCAATCATACGCTCTCCCTTGGCAGATGAGGAGGGGCCCAGGCATTTATGCACATGGAGAACTGGCAGGCTTCCATGGGAACTGAAGGGCTGTGTGTACTCTTTGTACTGTCCTGGATCCATCGAAAAAGCTAAACTTAGTGCTGGATTAATTAAACTCTATTGTGTCTTGTGAGTTTGATGGCCACTCAGAAATGTTACCAGTGCACTAGTGGGACCATGTACGGGCCTTCAAATTTACTAAAGAAAATGTTTCCTTTGACTATTCTTGCCAAATGGCTATCTACACTGATCATCTCTTCTGCTTGACCTCCAAATTCGTTCTGTTTTTCTGAGCTTCCCTGTCTCCTTTGCCTTCCCGTCTCCTGATAAGGGCTCTCACCTGCAACCAGCCTTCAAACTTCCTGTCCATTTCTTATGCAGAACTATTAAATGATTGCACTATTTCATCCTAAACTAGTTTAGCTACTCACAGAGAGTTCATATCAATGACTAATATGAAGACTGGTCAAAAAAACATAGTTCTCCCCCAGGAGCTTTGTGACTACTTCTCGAGGAAAATTTTTCTTTTGCTACACAGTGAATGCTGAATCTCTGTCCGTAGACATCCAAATCCACACATTATCTGAGTCTCAGTTACCTACATGATTCCTGTTCTTAATTTGTTGTCTCAAACTTCCCTGAGTGTTAAAAGGAATAGAATTTACCTACCGCCACCAATACAGGCTCTTAGAAGTCCCAGCTGCTGCCACACGACCTCCAGAATAATTCGTCTCTGAGCTGCTCTGTGCTGTCCCCCTGCATTGGATCAATAGTGATGGCAGGTGCTCTACAGTCAGTTTCAGCATTTCAGTGTTTGGGTTTTTTTTTCCTTTGGGGGGCCAGATTGAGTTCTCCTAAACTTAGTAAAATCTGAGAAAGACACCTTACTGCATATATTGTTACTACTTTATTTCCTGTTATAACATTAACCTTTCTTCCCTCAGCTTTTGCTGCTTGATAGTCTCATGCCCTCTTGAGCTAGACTTTCAAATTATTTTACTTGAGCTACAGGCATAGTAATAGGGGTCCTCTGTCTTCCCTCCCCATAGGAGGAGCCATAAGGAAAAGGGGTGTGATCATCTCAGACACAGCCGAGTATCTCAGACAAACATTTCTGAGGCCACCACCTGAATTATCAAGGCTCTTCTGGTACCTGGTGCTGCTCATTATTTCAATGCATATTTATTGAGTACTATTGACATGCAAAGATATTGTTCTTAGAGTGGGAAAATGATTAAAAAATCACAACTTCTGAGAGCCAGCAACTTAGACTCTAAAGAGAATTACAGAACACGTTCCCTCAGAACCATGATGTGGGGCAGGACAGTGTGTGAGCAATGAATGGACTCCAGTTGTCAGACCTCACGGCGACGCCACGTGCGCTTCCTGCCGTGCCCTTCTTCCCGGAGTGCTTTTGGGGTGCTCAGAATGATAAAGATCAACTTCCAATCATTCCTACAAACAGTGCCTGAGAAATTAAGATTGAATTATGATACTGCCTACTTCATCTTGAATTCAAACCCCTGGATTTCAGAAATAAAAGTGTGGTAATGTAACATTTGGTTTTCTTGTATTTGCCTCCATCTTGTTCTCATGGAAAGACCAAGTCATCTTCTGGAAAGAGGTAGGAGGTACGTTTTATGACAAAATAAGGCTTTTTAACTTGTCCAACTTCACAGGGACACAGTGTAACATCTTAGTATTGAAATTCAGGCTCTGAATGGCCCCTGACAATGGGCATTACTGGAAATGGAAATGTCACCAGGACCTGCCCAAAGAAGAACTTTGGTTGCCTCCTACCACAGTGTTTGCAACTGGAATACAAAAAAAATGGTCTCGAAAAGTATAAGATATGTACAAAAACCATATATTAAATAACAAAGGGAAGACTATACAAGACAGCTCCAGAACGCCCACACTCCTGTGGTGTGTACAGCTGCCTCTTCTGTAAAAATCTGGATGGCTCAAAAGCATGAGGTTTCACAGGGCGGGCTCCTAATTCCATGAGCTGGCCGAATTTAATTCCATCCTCTGTGCACGGACGCCTGAAGTCAAGAATGCTCCTCCTCTTCAGGAAATCAGCATCTCAGCCCTGTAAAGAATGACATTTCCACGGACTCTCAGGGGTTCTCAGGGCTATTCTTATACATGCCATGGAGCATTTTTCCATCTTCACATATGGGCCATGAAGAATGTTACAGAAAAATAAGACTTTAGAAGTCCCTCTCAAACACATGCTTAAAGTTTAAAAAGTTTGGAAAGCCTGTGACGTTGGCAATGTTTCCAAGAGACAGCAACCCTGAAGGAAGGGATTCACCATCAGTGGCCCCACACAACAGTTCCTTCTGGGACAATTTTGCAACATGATCCTCTGGGTTGACACTGTGCTCAAGTCACCAAGTTTCTGCAATCTCTGTGAGAACCTTCAGCAGCTCAGCAAACGTAGGGCGGCCTTTAGGTTTCTGGAAAAGAGAAGCAGAGGTGGACAGCTCAGCTTAAGACTCACTCGGACATAAGCTGTGGAACTTGCCCACAGCGATCCAGGCTGGTTCTCCACAACTGGAAGAAAAAGACAATGTGGCCGACACACAGGGCATGACTGGCAGTGGAGCGAGGTATGAGTGTGAAAAGGTAAGAGGAGAGAGTTTTACAAAGATAAAAATGGCTAGAGCTGTAAACACTAGCCATGTGTGGCTATTTAAATTTCAGTTCATTAAAATTAAGCACATTTAAAAATTCAGTTTGCAGTTACATCAGCCCCTTTTCAAGTCTACACTGGCCGGGTGTGGCTACTGCCTTGGACAGCAGGGACATGGCCCATTTCCATCGCCACAGCTCTGGGACAGCACTGCCCCAGATCTGTTTGGACAACCTGATCTGCATGAGGCAAAGGGAGAGCTGGGGAAGAGGGGGCATCAAGAGCACCAGGCTCTGGAGCACAGTCCTGGTTATTGACTACACCTGATCCCCTGTGGCAAGAAGGATTTCGGTTAAAAAGCAAAAGCCATGTTTTCATGAAGGACTTCAGAGCACAAGCTGCTCTGCCTTAAGGCTCAGGCAATGAAGTCCCCGGCCAGGGCCAAGGGTTGGAGCATTTTCTTATTGCACAGAGCGATGTGGGTTAGCTTTGGCTCCGTGAGGAAGAACAGATGACCCTGTTGGCCTCTTTGAAAACCGTGGCAAACAGAACTACTTGTGCAGCCACATTCCCACAAAGGTCCTGTGTGGCAGGGTTAGTGGGGAGACACCACCCTTTGCATCTAATAAAAAAAAAGAACTAAAGAATATGTAAGCACAGGTGAGAATTCTCCTTGAGACTCCAGGAGCGTTTTGCAGGGCCTGAACTTCTGCAGTTAATAGAGACTATGAGATGTGTGTATCAACGCCATTGTAGTCATGTTGGGCTTTTAGATTACATTAAAAGTCGTAGGCAAAATCTGATTTTGCAAACAAGTAAATCAACATAACCAAAACACTGTTTTAATCCATGTCCCAACTGTAATTTGAGACTGATGTCATCTGGTTGGTCCTCCCTGCCCCTTCCCTGTCTTCTCTCCACAAAATATAAAATCTCAGTAAGTATTTTATTGCATGCACACATATATGTATATCACTTCATATACAACATATATTCCTGAGGTATTTACAATGTTAATGCAAAGATTAACATTGTTCTTTGCAAAGATTCCTTAATGCTCTTAAGACAACTATTTGCTACTAACAGCTTTCAGGATTCCTTGCAAAACAGTTAGTCATATGTAAAATATTTTCACACGCCAGGCATCTTTGTACAATTAATACTTCTCTAGAATGTGAACAACCACATCACTCTTGAATATTGAATTTTCCAGCATTTGTGGATTGGGAATTGAGTGATTTCTTTTTCAGCTGGGAGGAAACTCCTCACCCCACTGTGGTTTTTCTGGGCTGAAACTGTCAGCTGGAAAGAGAGAGGACAGGTCCAAGTCACAGGGGAGTCTGATACAAAGGGAAGGCTGTGCTGAATCAATGCCCAGAAAGGACAGGAGCGACACACAACCCCGCCAGCTTTATTTTCAAGCTTGGCATTTCAAGAAAAAGAGGAACTGGGCTCCCGAGAGATAATTTCCTGAGTAGAAGTTCTTGGCACACTTGCTGCCTTCATTTCTGCTCTCGTTTAATCTCTCTATCAGGAGTCATGAATGCCACAGGAGAGATGAAACCCATTACTTTTGGAAAAACAAGACAAATTAGAGTGGAGCAAATAAAAATACCATCATTCCCTTTCAATATGGAAGTTTAAAAACCTGATTCTGCCTTCAGTTTCCACCCACCAGTTCTTAACGGTGTAGAACATCTATCACCAAGGCTTTACTGACAGGAGTAGCTGCAGGAACCAATCTTGGAAAGACAGGACTTGGAAAAGACCCTGAATTTCTCAGATGAGAGGCCACTATTAGAAGCAAAACAGATTGATGACTCTGTAGTGGGAGTTTCAGATAGAAACAGCACTTCCGGCTCTCAGGGGACATGACCGAGAAACAGACACTTTTCCTGCCTTGATGGATACTCAGGTCTGCTCTCAGATGCTGGGACTCCCAACCTTCACCGGACACTCACCTCATGCCAGCAGCTGTACATGACTTCATAGATGGACATCGGTGCCAGGCGAGGGCGGTACAGCCTGAAGCCTTTAGAAATAGCTTCCACAACTTGCAAATTTGACTTATTTTCAAAAGGCATTTTTCCTTCTGTAAAAACTTCCCACATCAAAACTCCTGCAAATGTAATGCATAAAAACCAGAGGTGAGAGAGAAATGGTCACTTGGAACTGAAAGACCTGTTTCAAACTATATGGCATTGTCTTCCCCTTCCAGCCTTTGAGCTGTAATCACCTGGAATGAGAGCAGTTCCCCCACAAAGAGCACTGTGTGCAGCTTAGTTTCTGGACAGGCCTGGAATCTGAAAGCATTCCAAGTGAAAACAATGCCTTTCCTTTCCCATTGTCCTTGTCTGCCTCCCCATTGGAAGAAAACACTGCCAGCATTCTCATTTCTAAGTATTCTCGTGTCCCCACACCCTGAAATCAATACAACTTTTTGCCATCCACAGAAAATGACACAACTGTCTGAGGCTCTGCTGCCAGCTGGAGCCGAGAATTTAGCAGCCAGCTGACGGCTTGCCTCCCCCTGCCCCGGTGGAGGTTAACTGCTGGGTTGAGCCCAGAGCACCTAGAAGGGCTCTGTAGGTGTTCAGTAACCACTGACTGATTAACTGATTAACTCATGAAACTTCTTCAAGGCTCCCAATCTGACTTCATTTAATTATTCACTTATACCAAATCTGTATTAGGTATTGACTAGAGGCCAGGCCTGTGCTAGAGTCAGAGGATCCTTAAGAACAAGACCAGTCCCTGTGTTCAAGACCCTCACTACCCAAGGTGGGGTTGAGGGGGAAAGAGACAAGTAGTCAGATAAAAGCCAAGGAGTTCTAATTGTTCTGCAACCACTTGATGAGGCCATTGGATTGCTATTCATTGGTCTCACAACTTAACTGCTCTCCAGCAGAGCATAAAAAGTCACCTGCCGAGACTATCATGTGTCAGCAGAGAGCTAATGAGATCGATGATACCAGTGTAACCTTATTGTGACAAAAAAATTTACACCCTTCCGAGGGAACAGCTGCCCCTCCAAACCCAAAAAGCCATCCAGGAATGTCTGAGTGAAAGAGAATAGATAGATTATCACACATTTGTTGCCACTTTTAAAATATCAGTTAAAAGAACAAACTCCGTTGGATGTTGATCTACTGCGTCTCTCAGTGGAGAACGCCAGTTGACAGTGCAAAAGCAATTGACAGATCCCAAGGAGGCCTGTGTCTAAATTCCACAAAACCTGAAGGCAATGAGGTAAATTAGGTGATGGTGCTCAGTAGTTAGACAATGAATTTGTTAATTATGCGTACACTCAAAATTCAATGACACCATAAGATCAATTTTCCTTGCAAGTCCCTGTGGTGTGGAAATGTTGGCTGAGTCTGTTTTCCAGATCAGTAGAATTTATGCTCTGTTATGGTTTAATAGCAGGTGCTCAATGGGGAAGGAAAAGATCTGAAAGGTAGACTTCTGTGAGAAAGTGAAGGATACTGGTTGTCAAAGACAGCCTGGAGTCAAAGACAGCCTGGATGTGTTTAGAATATTTAAGGCAGGAAAGCACAGTAATGGAAAAAAATACAATAATTTTTTTTAAAAAAGAAGACCTTAAAAAAATGTGACATCATATCAAGACATCAAAGTTCAAAGAGATTGGCCTATTTTAGGAACTCAAGTCCCAGTAAAAGAACATCAAATTCACTCACCAAATGACCAGACATCCGATTTGCTGCTGTACTTGTTGAAATGGAAAACTTCGGGAGGGGACCACTTGACTGGGAACTTGGCTCCAGAAGAACTGATGTATTCATCGTCCAAAACGTACCTACAGTGATCAGATTTCAAAGCACATTGTGTTTTATGTTACCTCCCAGTTTGGCTTAATTCAAATCTCTTCAGTTAACTCCACTCTGGAAGACAGAGTGTTTTAGTGAAGAAAGGTTCTGTATACCTTCTTTTTTGCTTCTAAAGTGGGAAAGTAGCCCTTACAGGGTTTCCTTTCCAAACCGAGCCTCAATTGTGTTTATTGTATTTGGGCCTCAGAAAACCATGGCAATTCTTTAGTCCAAAATATACCCTACTGATCATGCTAATTACAACAAGATCTGCAAAGAACCATGCTGGATGGCCTAATACCCAAAGTTATAAAAAGGAAATAAAAAGTGAATATATAATAGAAAAGGTGCAGTTCAAAGCTGAATGTTTTATATTCTTTCTGCATATTTTGGAGGCAGAGAAGGGGGAAATAAAAGTATTTAAACATAATTTATTTGATGTGGAAAATTCCTGATGCATTAAAATGACCCTATATGGAAAGAAATCAGTGGTGGCTACTATCTCCTTTAAAAAATTTTAAATTAAACCCTCTCTTTTTTTTGAGAATTGTTTGCAGAAATGTCCAGGGATAAGTATCTGAGAGAAGAGATGATAGCTAACTTGTGCTGTGTAACACCTTGAGTATGCAGTATAGTACTTTTAAATTTATCTGTTAATGTTTCCCCACATTTCACGTCTTTTTTCACACATTCTACCTCACCTCATCTTTAAGCCCTTTATTGAGCCAGAAATCATCCTATGAAGGGGAAAGAATGAAACATAGAAAACAAAAGGGAAGAGAGCCATTTTTCATATTTTGTATTTCAAAAGACCAGGCTTTCCAGAGAAGAGAAGGATGGAATTATCAACAAGATATTCTGGAGAGTGGCTACTGGAAAAGAGCGAGGCTTCCCCACCACCACCACCTCCACCACCTGTCCCTCTAGAAAGAGGTTCCTTGAGCTGGGAAGTAGGTGATAGGGGGGAAAGGGAAGGAGTATTAGCCACCAGTGGATGGCTGAGGTGGGGTCCTCACTCTCCGTGAGCTGTCCTGGTCACATGGTGGAGAAAGAAGGCCCCGCTTCCCCCCAAGAGGTTAGTGGGACTTAAGAGCAAACCAGAGCCTGTGCCTTATTTCCCAGGAAAGGCAGAAAATTGTAAACAAAAAGCTCTGGGTGTGCCTAGGGAAAGGGGGCCTTGGATAGAGTTTTCCAATCACAGAGAATGTCAAAATACAAAGGAACCTTGCAGGCAGAAACTCGGGCTGAGTCAGGGGCCACCCGTGTGGATGGCCCGCCAAGCACAGAACAGGAGGGTGGCGGCTGCAAGGAAGCCAGGGACAAGGGGCCATAGACAGTAACAAGGACCAGACAGGCCATCTCCCTCCCAGCCCTATGGCCCCAAGAAACACACAGAACTGGGGTTTGGGCCCTAAAGAGAATCAAGGGGAAACCCTGAATTAACTGGGTTTAAATTTCTAGCAACCTGAGGGAAAGGGAACTCAAAATATAAACTGTAAGGAGTTATAAAAAATAAGGTTAGATGCATATATATCAGAAAAGCTTTTTTCTTAATCTTACCTATATAATGAGTGGACTGAGAAATTACTTTTAAGTTTAAGATATGCCACACTCTCATTCTCGATGCTATGGAAGAAGATCAGAATAGCCCACAGCAGCTGCTTACCTCACAGCTAAAAGTGGTGCACACCCTAAAACTCAAAGTGGGTCAGTAGGCCATACAACCACATGATCAGAGAAAAACAAGCAAAGCCAATGTCATCTTTCAGTTCGTCAATAGACAGATGCAAGATTCTCTCTTATGAGTAAGCAACAATGAAAAAATATATCATGTACCTCGTCATTCCAAAGTCCGAAATTTTTACTACACTTGTGGAACTGACCAAACAATTCCTCGCCGCCTATGGAAAGAAGAAAAGAACCCAAGTTTGAATGAGATTTCCTTTCAAGAGTGTCTTCTACTTTCCTGTTCCCTCATTTACTTGGGCCCCCACACCACGCCTCTGTGTGGGCAGCCGGGTTATTTCTATGGTGACGCCAGTCAGTGATACACGATTCAAGATGTCTGCCTTCACAAGGTAGATTTTAATGATTCTTTAAAAAAAGAAGAAAAAAGTGAAAAGAAATTATAGCACTTTTCCTTTTTAAGATTTTTAATCTTTCTCATAAAGTATCCTCAATAAATATTAACTCAATCTTAATGAGGACTCAAGAGATGATAAACTATGAATCTTGATATAAAAAACAATGTGTATTTTTAAATTTATTCTAAATAAAAAGAAGGTCCAATATACATGACAAATAAAGGATAGTCATTATATATCTTTGAGACCTACAATTGCTAATGAAAAGCAAGAAACTGTGTTTTAAAACTTATAGATCATTGAATATAACTAGTCACAATGATACTGTTAAATTTCTTAAAATTACCACAGTCAACTAAATACAGTACTTTATAACAGACAGACAATCTATTTGATACCAACCAATCCATATTCAGGCAACCTAATTAAGAAAACTATTGTTCTGGTTAGTTAGACTCATATAGGTCAATGGTTTGATAGAAATTTTTCTTTTCCGCAAATCTGTGGTGTACTTAGTCCAAAAATAAAAGCAAGGATCCTGAAACTGCAGGTCAGAAGGAGCCAGCTGGGCAGATGTCAACGAGGTTGGCAGTGGTCTCAAAGCCAGACCAGAAGGCAGGCAGGCCCTTGACAGGGAAAGACTCCTTGTGGGCTCAGATATTTTAAATGGCACGTAAGTGGTAAAACAGAACATAAAAGGAAACAATGACGGAAGAAACCGAGGACAGGAGAGTCTGCAAGAAGCCACCTGGAGCAAATCAAAACTGTCACCTGAGTTTCGAATTCTAACCCTCATCAGGAAAGGCAAACCTGCAGGGACCAGGAAAGTGAGCTAGGTAGATTAACGTGGTATCTATCCGCCCCAAAATCTGCTCGGTAGCTGCTACATGCTGAACCCTGGGGAAAACGCCGTGAGGGATGCAAGAGAGTGGTCTCTCTGTGTCATAGCAATGGTTAGCATTGCTGAGCTTTCCTATGTGCCGGCACTATTTTAAGTGCTTACGCATATTAATTCACGTAATCCTCCCAACAAGCCCGCATGAGGGAGGTGCTATAATTAGTACAACTTTTCTAGTTAACTAGCTTTCTTAGCTAGCTTTCTTACTAGCTTTCTTAGCTAGAGGCTGGATTTCAACCCAGGGAGTATAGCTCTAAGGCAATGGTTCTTAATCTTCACTGCACAGCGGACCCTCCAGGAAATTTTTCAAAAGCTATTGATGGCTGGATTCCACTTCCAGAGATCCTGGTTTAGTTGGTCTGGGTTATGATCTGGATATTGTGATGTTTTAAAAACTCCTAGAGCTTGATCGCAAGGAGTTTAGAGTCCAGCATTTGTGTAAACAATATAAACAATTAGGAAATAGAAAAAATAAATGCCATGAGAGTTCTAAGTGATGTGTAGGGCAAGCAATGGTGCACTGGGGCCAGTGAAATTATGCCTCTTCTCTTTTTTTTAAATTTTATTTTAATTGTTGTTCATGTACAGTTTTCTGTCTTTTACTCCCATCCCTCCCCACCCCCCCATCCCTACCCACCTCCCTTCCATTTCCACCCCTTCCAGATTTTGTCCATGTGTCTTTCATATTTGTTCCCATAAACCCTCTTTTCTCTCCACAATATTCCTGCCTGAACGGTGAAAAATATGGTTGTTCTGGTCACGGGAGACGGAAGACAGGATTACCTTGGGTGACCGTATCAGGGATTTCTCATAGAATTCTCATTGGACTCAGAAATGGGACATGGAGGGGCATAGAAGGAATAGTGTGAATACCACAAATAAATATGAAATAGATGGAAAATGGTTTTCAAGGGGAGGAAGCAACGCAGGAGAGCAGAGCTATAAGCATGTGGAAGAAGACTAGGCTTGGCTCTTAATATTTTTCCTTTGGCAGGGCAGCTCTGAACATGACGGAACAGAAGGATTTAGCATTTCTAGTGCCTCTCACTCATGCCAATAATGCCGCTGCGATCCTGTCAGAACCAAACCACCTCCACATGGGGCAGATTCACCCCGGGTGCGACCACTGGAGCTTCTTCTTGTCTGTCGTTTCTCTAGTGCCTGGAAGAGCACTGGGCACTTACTAGGCACTCGATACTTATTGTATTTGATTATAGGAAGGAAGGAAAGAAGGGAGGAAGGAAGGAAGGAAGGAAGGAAGGAAGGAAGGAAGGAAGGAAGGAAGGAAGGGAGGGAGGGAGGGAGGGAGGGAGGGAGGGAGGGGAAAAAGAAGAAAGAGAGGAAGAGAGGAAAGAAAAGAAAATTAATCTTAGTTATTTAGTGTGGTGGTTGATCAGTTCCAGGCATATTTAGGGTAACACCTTACTTGGCTACAGCATCAATGGGCAATTAAAAATAAAGCTACGCTTCCAAACAATTACATGGAGAAGAAAATGTTTTAAAATGTAAGCCAACGTATGCATTATTCAGAGTATTGAACATCCTACATTGTCATGTCCTTCTGAATAAAATACATAAAATAATCAGCGAAATTGCACCATACTTACTAAATCCCTGTGAATAAAGCAGTTTCTCTCCAGATACTCCATGCCTTCACATATGTCCTGGCACATGCTCAGCAGCATCTCCTTCCTCAGCTTTCCTTTCCTCTCTCTGAGATAGTTGAGCAGGCAGCCGTTCTCCATGAACTCCGTCACAATGTAAAGAGGCTTCCGCTGAATACATACTCCATACAGCTGAACCAGCCTTGAATGAGATAATTTCCTGTTGAAGAAAAACATACACCAGTGAACAGAGCCATTTTTGCTTTTCAAAGTGTTTAGACTCCACTGGTGGTTACATACCATCTCTATGTAATTTTCATCACCGAGACGTGTTAGAAACGAACCCAACCACAGAGCAAGTAGCCCAGTTTCCTTTCCACTGTATATCTGAGAAAGTGGGGTCCAGAGTATGAGCAGAACTGCCCAAGCCACTGTAGATACAGAACATAACATGCCCTATATTCTGTTTTTCTCTTTTCCGTTCTGCAAGCTTTTCGCTTCCTCGTTCTTGCTCCTCCTGGCCTAGACCTTGCAGTTTCTGTCCCTTGAGTTTCGAGCTTCCTAACTGTAGTCGCCCAGACCTAAAAAAATTAATTCTGGACAGACAAGAGGGAGGAAAGAGTGATTGATGCATTAAGAAAGAAAGAAAAGAAAAATGGAATAATAAAAAGTATTTACATTAAAATATTTTATTACCAGTATTAATCACCCTTGGAGAAAAACACTAAGGGAGGAGGGGCAAGAAGTTTGGGGTATTTTTTTGTTTTTACTTTATTTATGTCTGTGTAATATGACCTTATAAAGTTAAAGCTTTGCTTTCGAGATCTTAATTTTTTAGCACAAAGATATGATGGTGTAGAAATAAAGGATGAAATGAGATACAAGTGAAAAAGTTCTTAGGGAAATTAAAATTAGTATATATATTTTATTATTATAATATAATTAGTTCATATATCTCCATATAATGTATTGCTACTAATAAGCTAATCCAGTTAATCATCTCGGGGCCTGGGGTTGTTTTTGTTTTTGTTTTTGTTTTGGCTGGTTGGTTTGTCAACTGAAGTCTGCAAGTACGAAATTAGAACGAAATTGCTTTGGGTAATAAAGGAGAATCCAAGTAACCTGGGTTTTTCTTCTTCACCACATTGTTGTTCCTCTAAGTAAATGTTGAACAAATACTTAAAGAAAATTGATTTAATTTGTGCTACATTACTGGCCTCTCCTGGCTTGGACCAGGTTACAGATGTTGGACACAGCCACGGGTCCGACTGAGCCAAAACACTGATGACCTGGGAAGCCACGGCCGTTAAGAGCAGTGTCCAAGGGACTACCAGGGCCATTCTGTTAAAGCTCGGGATTCTTAAATCCTGTGAAACAAATACTCTACCCTTATATGTCCTTAGACAAAGTCAACATTTTTGCTTGTGGGAAAAGGAAAAAAACTGCACTTATTTAAGCCATGTAATTGAGCTAAAAAGAACACACATTTTTGTTACTTTCCTACATTATCTCAGTTAATTCATACATTGGTCCAGCAAGATAGGTATTGTTACCCCCATTTTACAGGTGAGGAAATTGAGGCTTAGAAAGGTGAAATAACTCATCCAGGCCACATGGAGGTTAAAAATTTTCCCAGGGCACACAACTAGCTTGGGCAGGGTTGTGACAAATTCAGGTGTGACTGACTCCAAAATCCACATTCTTTCCATGATACCAGGGTAGTGCAAGGTATTCAGCTGGGTATTGTTTATACTTACGTCATCACTTTAGCCTCTTCAATGAAGTCCTCCTCAGACATGGAGCCTTCGTTGATGGCCTTGATGGCTACCTGGAGGTGGGCTCGCCATTCACCTAAATGGACCACACCAAACTGACCACTTCCAATCTCCTTTATAAACGCCAGCTCAGACGGATCTATTTCCCACTTTTCTGAAAAGTAAAAATATCCATGTTATAAGTAGGGAAAGCCTGTTAAAATATTAGAGCTAAAAAAATGTAGGGCCCTGGCTGGTGTAGTTCAGTGGATTGAGCACAGGCAAAGCAAAGGGTCGCCAGTTCTATTCCCAGTCAGGGCACATGCCTGGGTTGAGGGCCAGGTCCCCAGTAGCAGGTGCACGAGAGGCAACCACACATTGATGTTTCTCTCCCACTCTTTCTCCCTCCCTTCCTCTCTGTCTAAAAATAAATAAATAAAATATTTTTTAAAAAGATGTAGGGATTACTGAGATCTCTTCTATTATAGAGAGGTTAACAAATTTATACATGAGTGGAGAGGACTTGCAATCATTTTTAACACTCCTATTGTGGCTTAAATGTGCAATTCCAGAATTCAAGTTTAAATATACAAACCTGAGTTACCTGGAGAAGAATTATAGATCTCACAACATGCATTCTTTTTTTAGAGAGAACCAGGTAAAACACAGTTCTGCACCTTTCTTAACTAAACCTACCAAAACTAGGCCTGGAACCTAAAATATTTATGTCCTCAGTGTGTTTTTGTCCTGGTGACTAAGCTGCTGAGACAGACAAAATTGGGGCACTCCCTGCCCCCATTTCAGTCCCTTCTATTGCCCACTCCAACTTCTAACAGGCTTTTCTGCCTTTGGATAAGTCTTCTCTTTAGGAAAAGGCTAATCAATTTTGCTAATAAATACACCTTATGTTAAGACTCTAACCCACATATATGTGTAAGTGGATGTTTAAAATGAAATCTACGTTACTACATATTTCTCATCCCATAGTGAAAAGTTGGGAGTAGGGGGATGTTTTTAAAATAACCCTCTTGAAAACTGGGAAGTAGCAAATCTTTTGTACCATCTTTTATGTAGCAACACTGCCATCTGCTGGAAAATTTAAATAATGCACTTAAAAGAATTGCTAAGAGTTGATAGCCCCTGTACCAGATTTGCAAATTATTCCCCCTCCCAATAGCAGGTGTGTCTTAGAAGTAACATGGGAGAGCATAGTCATGATCTTGGTATTGGCATATAATTTATTCAACATAATAGAACCATAAAGGGAAGTAGGGATAATTACACTTTGTAAAATTTCCATTCATCAAATACATGTAAGCCACAGGCTGAATTGCAGACTGTTCTGAATATTAAAAATTGAGCAGTATAATTTTAAAAAATTAAATAGGACCATCAAACTCAAACTGCTAATGGTTGGACTTATATGTAATGTTTATGGGTAAGAAATAATGTAGGTACCCATAACATCCTGAAATCTCCCTTCTTTTTCAGTTAACACAGAGGCCCTGCATCCTGGTTACGTTACACAGCATCTCTTTTCCCCAGTGTATTGTGAGTCCCACTAATGAGAGAAATTTAAGGCAATAAAGTGTCACCAAATTAGAAAACAGGATTCTTTGGCTCTTACGTAGTCTCACATATTTGCAAATAACACATTTGCTAGAAAATAGTCCAATTCTGTCCAGGTTCTACTTGAAAAAGGTGAAGAGGACACTTTCAGCAGCTCATTTAACAGGTTCTCTTGGGGAGCAGTCTTTTCCCAGCCACCCATGTACCCAGAGAGCAACAGCCCAAACATTCAAATGGAAAGAACTGTAATTTATCACAAGGGCTCTTAATAATGGTGTAATAAAATTTGGAGTAAAACTGAAACATTATCCCCTAAAGTTTAAATTGCCCTTATAAGATGCATGTATTTAAACATCTCAGAAGCGGGATTTAAACATTGAGAAGAAATATATCAAAATAGACATCTCAGTGAGCTGAGAATTTAGAGAACATAGAGGGAGCCCGGGGTAAACTCTGTACTGGGTTGGACATGTTACTGGAGCACGTGTGCATAGCTGGACATGTTACTGGAGCACTTTACCGTAGCTGAAACCAGCTGTGGCTGGCAAGCAACTGCCCATCAGCCCGACTGGGTAGCGGAGACGGGTCATGAGACCTGGGGAGGAAGAGAAAGAGAAATCGTCATTTCAAGCCTACTGACTAGTATAAATAATATGCTGGACAATAATACCATTCTTCACATAAATACAGCAAAAAAAGCATTCTTCTCAGTCTGTTTGCTTATTTTTCCCATTTGCAAAATATTTTTCATAAAATAACATACTCTCATCAAACACTACTTAAAGAATTCAAGAACACATAAAGATGAAATAAAGGTCCCTCACAAAACACTAGCATCCAGAGATAGACTGTTACCGTTTTGATGAACATCTTTGCAAAAATCTCTATGTGCATATTTGAAAGAATATACATATCCAATACGTTTTACAGAAATGCAGAGGTCTTGCTATAAGCTTTTTACAGTCAATATGTAATTGATATATGTCAATGACTCTAAATGGATCTTAAAAGTTATATCTAAGATTTCGCTATTGTAAAATATGCTGTGTAATCTTGAATACATATTTGTATGCACCTCTCAAATTATTGCCTCAGGATAAAGTCCTTAAAATGTGGTTTTCTGATCAAAGGTTGTCTACAAAGACTGTGCCAATTTATTCAACCACCAACAATACTCAAGTGTAATCATTTTACAATCCTATTTTTTAAGAGTAGTTTTTTTTTGATAGCTTAGAATTTTTTATTGTTTTTTATGGTTCTTAAGAAGGATAATGAGTTATGTTCTCTAATTAGAGAACATAATTGAATTACGTTCAATTAGATATTACATTAACATTATACTGGGAAAGGAAAATATATATTTTCTTTAGAATTTTTATCTGTCCTCTCATAATACATTTTTAAAAATTTTATTGTTGTTCAAGTACAGTTGTCTGCCTTTTCTCCCCACCACGCCACCCCCCACCCCAGCCATCCCCACCTCCCTCCCCTGATTCGCCCACCCTTTGGTTTTGTCCATGTGTGCTTTATACAGTAGCTTATTTTTTTTAATAGCATGGGAGAGTAGATGATATTGCTTTTGATTGTGCCAACATGTAGTATTGTACATAGTCAATTTCAGTTTACTTCAATAAGCACTTATTGTTTCTCTCTTCAACCAATATTCACTGAAGGCCTGGAGATGGCTGAGCGCTATCTAGAGGGTGGGAGACAGCAAAGCCTAAGACACTGATGGTCCCCACTCTCATGAAGCTTTTTTTCTTTTCTTTAAGATTTTACTTTAGACAGAGGGGAAGGGAAGGAGAAAGAGAAAAACAACAATGTGTGGTTGCCTCTCACATGCCTTCTACGGGGGACCTGGCCCACAACCCAGGCATGTGCCCTTGACTGGGAATTGAACCGGTAACCCTTTGGTTTGCAGGCCGGCACTCAGTCCACTGAGCCACACCAGCCAGGGTCTAATTTCCCCTTTTTTATAAGGACACCGGTCATGCTGGTTTAACATCCACCGATAGGGCTTGTAAGCCACACTAGGGAGTGGTGTTACATCTTCCTGCAGGTGAGAGGGAGCCATTGAAAGTTCCCATATAAGGGAATGACATGTTTAGATTTGAATTTTTAATAGGCGTTCTGGCAAAAGTATAGAGGATGGACTGAGGGGAAGGTCATATTGGAGACCACAAGATCAGGAAGGAGACCACTGCGATTGTCCAAGCAAGCAATGATTAGTGCAGCCCCAAGAGACAGGGAGAGGCAGGGGCCTCTACCCTTACTATAAGTATTTAATAATAAGCAGCAATGAAAGCAAAAGAAAAAAAAGACACGAAAATATTCGCAGCACAATTCCCTGAGACGTGAACAACTCGAGGTTTAGCCATAAACTGACTCCTGCTCACGCATGCTCTCCTTTGTTGCCTGAGAGACACTCGTGTCAGCATGAAAAGGGTTGTTGCATTGAGAACCAAAGTTTTGTCCAGAAACCCAGACATTTTTTCCATAAACAACTTGGTCAAGAACAGAACTGTTCCAGATGGGAGGTATTCAAGAACCGAGGTTTGACTATAGCTGAATGCAAACTCTGAACTTAATGGGTTCAGTGGCTCCAACAGTTTCAAAGATTTCAGTGAGTTCATATTGTGGCGCAGATACTAACCAATGGTGTGGCCTTGTGCAAGTCACCTCACAACTCACGCCCCAGTTTCCCAGTCTGTGAAATGGGGACATCAACAGCACCTACCTCATAGGATTGCTCTGGAGATTAAGGAAATAATTAGACATAAAAGCACTCAGAACAGGCCATGGCTCAAAGGCAGTCTGCAATAAATGAATTATTTCTGGGTCCCATTCCTTTCCTCTCATCATTCTTTCTTGTTGCTGTATGCCTTTTCTACTTCTTTTCTCTCTGATAAATAACAGCCATAGTTTTAACTTTTCAGGCCCTGTTTTTCATTGCTTTTATGGTTTGCTCCAATCTTTATATTTTAAAAGTTATCTGTGTGGTATTTTATATATTGTAAAAATAAGTTTTGTACATTGCAATAAAAAATTAAACCTTAAAGCAATTTATAAGGCAGAAAATAAAAACTTCCCATACCCCAAGTCTCACTCCCCAGAGGTAAACATTAACAGTTTGTAGTCTGTTATAATCTTTTTTTTTAAAGATTTTATTTATTTATTTATTTTTAGAGAGGGAATGGATGGAGAGAGAGAGAGAGAGAAACATCAATGTGCGGTTGCTGGAGGTCATGGCCTATAACCCAGGCATGTACCCTGACTGGGAATTGAACCCATGACACTTTGGTTCGCAGCCCGCGCTCAATCCACTGAGCTATGCCAGCCAGGCCTAATTTTTTTTTAATTCATTATAAGAAATTCCTTTTTTAAAAAGATTTTATTTATTATTTTTAGACAGAGAGGAAGGGAAGGAGAAAGAGAGGAAGAGAAGTATTAATGTGTGGTTGCCTCTCATACCCCCTACTGGAGATCTGGCCTGCAACCCAGGCATGTGCCCTGACTGGGAATCATACCAGCGACCCTTTGGTTCACAGGCCAGTGCTCAATCCACTGAGCCACACCAGCCAGGGTTGTTATAATCTTATTAGTTAAAAAAGTATTACCTAAGTTTCAACAGTTTTTCTATGCACACATATATGTGTAAATGTATTTTTTCAAAAGTAGGACTATACTCTAAATATACTACTCTGCACTTGTTTTTAGTATCAACCTATCACTAACATCTCCTCATGTCAGCACATCCTGACCTACCTCAGTATTTTTTTTTCACTTCACTGTCAAAACCACTCTGTTTCTTAAATTTTGTCTTTAAAGGAAGAGGAAAGAGGAGTGAAGAAGAAAGCTCGGAACCAGTCTCCTGATTCAAAGGGTTCTGTCTACCTCTAGCCACAAACAGGCCCTTCCTGGCGCACTCAGGCACGCCGCCACTTCCCCTCTGATCGAACTCTGGAGCACCCATGTGGACTCACCCCGTAAGTGGATAAAAATTCCCTTGGACCTATTCCTAATATTTAGCAGCAGTATAATGGAAAAGTGGCTGCTTTCCAAAAGAGATTTCTTTTTTTTTGTCAACACAACTTTTCATGAGAGAAATCTAAAAAACCACTGTATGACAAGAAGTCAAAACCATGTGAAAAGTGACAGTGGGTTCCAAAGTCTGTAATGCTGAGGTGAGAGGATCCCCCATGGGCTCAGAGATGTCTCGCAGAGGTTGGGCGAGAGCTGAAGGCCAGAGATGTGACTGCAATTGTGGCAGAACTTTCCGGAACCCTATATTTTTCCATGGATGGTAGGTTGGCATGAGTAACAATTATTACAAACAATAGCTGGGGGCAGGATCTAAATATGCCTCTAGTACATCCGGGCCAAAATGTAATGAGGGGAAGCCTGTGTCCTGTATAACCTCTTCCATTCTCTAAGCAAGAAACAACAGAGAATGAGAGATTTAAAGGTAATTTTCTATTGCAATAGTCTAAAGTAGAGAGCAAATTTATAGGGGCAAAGAAAAGGAAGCATGATTCTTTAGGACATTGGGCATTCTATGACACTTAGCCCTATGTATGTGTCAAGAACAAATGCATAAAGAACAAATGGCTTGTTGCTTCTCTGTCATCTATCATTTTTCTAACTTGGCAGAAATTTTAAAAATTGGCCTACCTCTTGCCCCTGACTAGAAAGATAAAGAAGCGTCAGTGAAGAGAATTTTTCAGAAGTACGTTGTATTTCCAGTTCTTACACATTTTAGAGGGATATTTGTTAAGTGTCTGAGACAAACGATGCATTCCACACCTAGAGCCTGGGTCCATGACTCTCCCAGCCCGAGGTTCCTGACTTACCGGCTGCATTGTGCTGGTGATACCAGATCAGCTCGGGGATTGATTGAAAGAAGTGCTTTTCGGCCACGTACCACTGTCCTGAGTCATTCCTTTTAATCTGATAATGTTTGACGGTAGCCTCCATGCTTCTACAATCAATCAAATGTGGATTAGTAAACAAGCAAAAGATGGCTTTGGAACTAAATCAATTCATGAAGCAACAAGTTTCTGCCTCTAGGACTCTTAGCCTAGCAACACTACACACTGACAAGCAGATTGGATTAAATTGAACAGGTGTCTCAGCATCCCAGGAAAATTCCTCACTATCTTATTTGGGCCTTAGAATCAAACATGACTTCAGCCAAAGTCATCTAGGTGACAAGTCTAGTGTTCAAAACAAGTGGATCTCATAATGAGCACATAAGTATTTATTGACTATCAAGTATGCGTTAGGTGAATACAGAAATGCATTGTGAGGGGTATGAGGAGATGTGAGACAAAGAGGGCAGGAAAAGCAATCCAGGGTGTACTGATGAGCACTTCTGTTATGGGCAACTGGAGCTTAAACCTTATGGGAAGCTGAAAGACTGTGGAACACACCTGGGAATCATCCCACTAAAATGCAGAGAAGCCGAGGTGCTTATTATCCACCAACTCCCCTTCCTCACTGATGGAGGGTCACTCCTGAGAAGTTAATTCTCAGACACTTCCAGCCTAGCCATCGGGACCATGAGTTCCTTTACACAGAGAACACTCTCAGGCAGAAAGACACAGGAAGCTTCCTGAGTGCAGGTGAACTCTCTCCAGGTAGACCCAGGATAGACCAAGAGATATGAAGGAAGCACCACCAGCTCAGCTACAGCTGATTCAACCTCCTCACTAGGTGGTTGAGAAAAGGAAATGAGAGAACTTAAGTAGCATCCAACGCCACACACAGCGCTTGTTAGGTATACAATGTGAGCTGGTCAGTTGTCTTAATTTCCAGTCCAGCAATCTTCTCCCTGGGCTGGGCTCTTGTTTACATTCTCTAAGTGATGGTGTCTCCTTCAAAAGGATTGTCCCTAAAATTACTATTTCTAAAGTGACCAAAATCATAATTGCTTACCTTCTATCTCTTAGAAACACCGAAATTGTGTAGGATCCCAAATGTCTTGAATCTCGGACAATAAATGCACCTTCTTTAGACTGCAAAACAATTCATTCATTGAACAAGTTTACTTTTTATTAGAAAGAAAGACAAACCTACATCTTAATAATGAAAACCAAAGCTATACTGACTTACTATAAAAGAATGAGATTGTTTTTTACAAATATGAGTTTAGAAATAACACCTATAAAATAAAATATAGTTAAGACAAGAAATTTTTATATGAATTTTAAAATTTAGCCCCCAATTTTTCTAAGAGAAACCCTGCATTTAACAACTTTGTATCCCACTGTTTAGTTATTTTTATAATAGTAATCAGAATGATAGGTCACAATAGCTGATAAGTAGGAAGAACTCTGAGAGAGAATTGTACTTTGGAAGAAAGAAAAGAAAATGGCAGGCAGGGGTGAAGGAGAAAGGGAGAAAAACATCTTAATTGTTGGGGCGGGGAGCGGGAAAAGAGACCAGCATTTTAATGAGGATGGAGAGAGAACAGATTCGGGGGAGTCTGGAGAGAAGAGCAAGGAGAGCCGTTCTAGCTGTTCCAGGGGCAAGGGAGAGGCGAAAAGGGAAAGGGCGGGAGGGACGGATGTCACAGTCAGTTTGGTGTTAGATTATGAACTGGACCCCCTCTAATGCTTTTTGGAAATCTCGACAAAGCTGTGAATTGCTTTCAAATAATCTTGACTGTTGGACAGTTTTATTTGATTTTTTGTTTGATGTTTAACAATGCTTCAGGTTTGCTGAGTGTGCTTGCACTTGTGAAGAGGAAAATGTCTCAGAAGCTTGTTAAACCCACGAAAGCGTCCACCTGTGAAGCGCCACTAAGTTGCGTGAGCGCCACACAACCCAAACGGACTGGCCTGACCCTTGAGGTGAATGTAACTCACTACCCTAAAGCCTTACAAAAATCTGTCTGAAAAATTCAAATACATAAATTCAAATATTATTCATGGCAAGAAGAAATATAGAACAATTGAAAAACTAAGGAAAGTATTGCCACATATCACCAAAACTAATTTCCTTAATATAGCTACATATGTCTTATAAATTGTGAGAAAAGCATCAAAAAAGGGAGAGAATTTTGCAAAGGATATGAACAGACATCTCACAGAAAATGAAATACAAATATATAAAACTCACTCTATAAAAAGATGCTTAACATTCCCAGAATAAGAAAAATGTAAATGAAATCCACGTTGAGATGGGATGTCAGAGCAATGTTTTGAACGTTTCACTAAAACACTTGGTTGCGGGGAAATAGGTACTCCCTCACATTGCTAGTAGGTATATAAATTGATACCAGTCTTACAGAGAGCATTTCAGTACCTGCCAATATTAGAAGTGCACAGTCCTTTTGACCCAGGACAGCCATCAGCAGGGATGTAACCTACAAACACTCATACACTCACATAAAGGAGAGAAGGAAACCTGTGCGTGCTCGTTGCCCATGGCAGCACTGTTTTAAGAGCAAAAGAGTGTATTCTACTTACACTTCCAACTAAAGGATTGGCTGAATAAGCTGTGATACATCCAAACTAAGAAATACTACGTAGGTATGAAATGAGTAAGGACCCATTTTATGTAGTGATGTGGAAAGATCCCCTATATAGATCATTAAGTGAAAAAAGTGATGTACAGAAGACTATATATATATATTATGTTACCATATATATAACAAAAACTGATTGTATTGGCTTTTGTATGTGCAGAATATCTCCTAAAGGACACAAAATTAACTCATACAGCAGTTCGCCTATGGGAAGGGGAACTGATGGCTTGGGGACAGGAGGAAAGAAAACTTTTCAGACCCTTTTGATTTTGGAATCATGTGAACATACTATTAAAATATGAAATAAAAATTATAGGATACTTCTACAAATAATGTATGCAATAAATTTGAAAATAAATATAAAATAGGCAATTCTCTAAATAAAGATAAATTATCAAACATCTCAAAAAGAAAAGGAAACTAAGTCAGTAGTGAAAGATCTGCTTACTAGAACCAGACAAAAGAGAATGGAAAATTAGAAGCCTGACTCACTCTGAACATAACAGGACAAACGCTAAATCATATATTAGGAAACCCAAACCAGAAATATATTTTTATTTTATTATATTTTTAATATTTTATATTTTCTCTTTTTTTATTTTTTATTGTTATTCAAATAAAAATGTCTCCATTTTCTCCCCACCACTCCCCCCAATTCCCACCTCCCACCCTCAATCCTATCCTCCTTTGACTTGGTCCATGTGTCCTTTAGACATGTTCCTTAACAATCCTTCCCCCTTTCTCCCCATTATCCCCTCCTACCTCCCCTTATTTATTGATTCTTTTGAGAGAGATAGAAACATCAATTTGTTGTTCCATTTATTTATGCACCCATTGATTGATTCTTGTACATGCCTTGACTGGGGATTGAACCTGCAACCTTACATAACAAGATGATACTCTAACCAATTAAATGCCTCATGACTGAGCAGGATTTAACCCAAGCATATTTTTAAATAAAAATTATAAAATGTGTAAATTACAAAAATATTTTATGATATATAGGAAAATATGTGTATACCAGGTCTGTCCAGAAAAAACCCAGTCATTATTAATATAATGAGAATAGTTTGCACAACATTGATATAACCTGGCATCCAATAAGAGTGGACTGCAGTGTACATGAATAAACAATGATGACTTCACTGTACTAGTCAGAGGGGGCAGTAGATGCTGTTGAGTGAGCATGTGTGCTGTATGACCATCACATTCAGAATGACTGAGCAGGTAGAGCAGTAAATTTGCATCAAATTTTGTGTTAAGCTTAACATTTCTCCATAGGAACTATTAGGATGATTCAAAAGACACAGCTATGGGCAACTGGTGATTGGCAGTTTCATCACAATAATGCACCCACTCATGCATCAAGTCTCGTGCAGAGTTTTTTGGCAAAACATCAAATCACCCAGGTGACTCAACCCCACTACAGCCAGATTTGGCACCCTGCAAATTCTGGCTTTTCCCAAAACTAAAATCACCTTAGAAAAGGAAGAGATTTCAGACTGTTGATGAGATTCAGGAAAATATAACAGGGCAGTTGATGGCAACTGGGAGAACTGAGATCCCAAGGTGCCTACTTTGAAGGGAACTGAGGCATCATTGTCCCATGTACAATGTTTTGTGAATCTTGTATCTTCAATAAATGTCTCTATTCTTCATGGTGTATGGCTGGATGCCTTCTGGACAGACCTCAAATTTTTTACTTTCTCCCTACCTCTAACCACCACCCCCAAACAGACTAAAGACCTAAATGTGAAAAGCAAATCTTTAAAATATTTAAAGGAATTTAAAGGAAAACATAAAATTCCTTTATTATTTCATGATGAGAGGAATTTCTTTAGAGTAAATAAACAAAAAAGTAGAAGCCACAAGAGAAATATTGAAAATTTTGATGTTAACATTTTTAGAAATTCTGTATAAAAGAGCATAAAATTTCTTTAAAGCCAGAAATCAGAAGAATATATTTGTAACATAGCTATAATTGTAATGCACAACAAAAGATTGGTATGCAGAATATATTTTTAAAATATACATGAGTTAGTTTAAAAGGCAAATACTACAGAAAAATGAACAAAACCTATTTTCTTGTATTTTATTTTCTTATATTATATAGAAAAACTGGGCTGACCCTGCCCAGCCCAGCAATTCTAGCTGTTACCTGTGATCACCTGGCGTGCTGTGGATCTCTGTCTGGACTTCCCTTCTCCACGTCTGCCTGTCTATCATAACATCTTCTGTGTTCATTCTGGACCTCCAAAGATCACTGTCCAGAAAGCAACCTGCAGCCACCGTGCCAGGCAGATACCACATTTGCTGCCGCACTCCGTCAGGCGTGTGGACTAACAGGTCAGACCTAGTCCGTGAAGCCAGGCCTGACCTCCACCTCCAGCCCTGCCCCCCCCCCCCGAGGCTGGGGCTGGGTCCCTCATGCGTGCCTATCCCCCAGCTATGACCTGGACCCTCCCTGAGACCTGAGCCGTTACTGGCATTGAGTTTTTAGTTACAGAACTGATTCTTTCTCACTTATCTTTCTAGATTTCCTCAACATCCGACAGCAGTGCACAGTGACACACATATCTCTCACCTAGTTTCTAGTTTTGACTCTACTTTTACCCACAGATAATCTTTACCGTCAGTTGGAAATTTAAACCATATTCAGTTTTATTTTGTTTTTACCTAAATGAGCAGTTTTGATCTGAGCTTGATATTTTGGCTACCTTACTCTTCCCTTTGTTCCCAAAGGACAAAGAAAGGGCCGTGCTGCGCATTTTTCTGTTTGTGTTTTTAATGAGCCAAAGCTAAGCTCATGAGGACAGGTTATGTATTTGACTGGCATGGGTGCAAAGGTGCACAGGCAGTTCTAATGTAGACTGTGCTGGTAGAATGCACTTCAGAGTGAATGAGAGGGCTGTAGAATGGTGCCGTTGAAATTATTTCGGGAAAAACACATTTCTGAAGTTATGATGAAAATCAATAGAAAATAGAATCTGTACAAAGACGACTAGTTTATGACATCAAAAAAATAAAGATGAGATAATAATACTATAAAACTAAAAAGAACAGAAAGTCATAAAACTTTTTAATTGGGTAAGGTCTTTCTTTATAATGTACTTCTCTCAGAAATTTTGAAACAGATTTATTGAGGAATAAATTGAATTACCTCTTGTTTCAAAAGACGTTCTGCTTGATTTCTGGTAATATTTCTATGGTACCACCTGTAAAAGCAATAAAAATGATTTTTAAATTTTATTTTTTTCCAAAAAAAACAACAACACATTCTATTTTCCTTGTTTTAAAGAACTTACTCCAGAAATTATTTTTAGAAAGTGGAGTGCTTTTTAAAAAAATTCAGATAGACAATACTGTACTATTAGTGTCTATTACTATTAATTTAGTCTATTAGACTAAATTAACTGCAATATCTAGTTTATTCTATTATATTTCAATTAACTTTCTGACACAAACTTAGTACACAGTTTTGAACAACTTAACCTCCTGAAAATGTCCATGAAATGTGTGTGGTTAGGAAGTCATCACCTTCAATAAACACTTCACTGAGCTTTGGTAGACACACTAAAAAATACTTGATTCTTTCTACTCAGGAACTTCTTATTTGCATGCTTTTGTACGTGCTATGTTACTGTCCCAAAATCAAAACCCACTCTAACAATCTGACTTTCCTAAATACGTTAACTGGTAGTAAGGTTAGCAGTTGGGTAGAGCGAACGGAACAGTCAATATATAACCCTGCCCCACACGCCCTCTCCAGCCTCATCTACTGCCTCATTCTCTGCTCACACACTCAGCTTCAGCCAGTAGGGATTCTTTCTTTCCTCAAATTCACCAAGCCCTTTTCTGCCTCTGATCTTGCTGTTACTTCTGCATAAAACATGTCACTATACGACTTTAGAGCAATGATTTTCAACCTTATTCGTTTCATTCCACACATAAAGTAATGACTAAAATTCTGCAGCACACCAAAATGGTATTTTATGTTTTGCTGATCTGACAAAAGTAGGTATAATTTTGATTCATCCACACAGGACAGCTACTGTTGTGTTGGCTGTTGTAATTTTTTTTTTTATCTGACAATCTAAAGGAAAAAAAGTCAGTCCTCTGCTGAATAGTCAGGTACTGCACACTTTTAAAATTCTTCCGGCACACCAGTTGAAAATCACTGCTTTAGAATTACCAGAAGCGTACACAGTTATCACAATTAAATAACACTGTAATTTAAATAAATAGTTTGGTGTGACAATACTTAGTCAATAAGCAAACATTGTGCAAGAAAGGGGAAATGGTAGAACCAAGGAGAGAAAGAACAATGGAAAAACTTTCATTTCAAAAAAAGATTTTAAAAAGTGCTAATCGAATATTACCAGAAGTGCTATGTTTATGGACAGGGGAAGGAAGAACACATGTATGCCTGGGCACTGAGTCACAGTGGGTGGGCCAGGTGGCGGCTGAATGAAACTCACACCTGACTTTGAGGATGGAATTGATCTTATCACATGGACTTCCCCTAACCTCCAGTAGTAGAAAGCTGCCACGAAATTAAAATGGCCGGGTATTCAGAACACTAATGCTCTTAAAATGAAAATAAGCCTTTAAAAAGATGAACCATAGAGAATAGGGATAATTACAGACAATTTTAGATAAAATAATGTTAACTACTTATCACTGGTGGGAATAAGAGTAACCGTGATGTTCAACTGTGATTATTTAGTACTTTCTAATGATTATTAATATTGTGCAGGGAATTTCAAGATGAGTTGGAGACCACCTGTTACAGAGTTAAAGATGCAGGGTGTCAGTTTAAAGGGGCCCCCAGTGGCGAACTTGTGAAATACATGTGTTAATGGGACAATAATGATTATAACTCACTCACATGTTGTATCTGAAAAACACAACCACTTTATGGCTCTTCTTAAAAGTGAACACATATCGCATGTTTTCTGAAAGCTTTTCACCCACTATCATATCAGTGTTAGCTTTGTTGCTTTGTACTTATTATGATAATAAAGAAGTAAATATATTGTATTGATTAAATGTAAATTTAAAATCTGTGTGTATGTCATTAGAATGCTTTCAAAGGAGTAACCAAAGACCCAGATAGAAATATGTGATATACTTAGGATTCTTTAAAATAATACGGGATTCCACAGGCAGGAAGAAAATTGGATGAATATAACTGAAGGAGGTGTGGTGTTTTAGAATTAAATCAGATGGTAAAAGTTAGAAGAGTTTTGTTTTGTTTTGTTTTGTTTTGTTTTTTAAATCAGGAAGCCTGTAACCCATACCTAGACAACACAGTCTAGAGATAATGATATAAATCAGACCCATACTTCTGTAAAGGTCAGGATAATCAATGTTTGATATTTAAAATATCTGGAATTTTAAGAGACTCTGGCATATTGGGTTTTGCCTCTGATTTAAAATTTAAAATTAATATTATACTTTGTATTTGAAGTTTAAGAGAATTTGACTCATTTTAAAATAGTTGTATGCTAAGGAGAACTTGATTTACCACATAAGCTTAATTTATCTGATTCGCCACAAATGTTTAGTTTATCGAATTTCCAGGATAATGCAGCGACTTACAGTTATTACAATGGCAAATTTGCCATGTCTGGCATATGAAGTATTTAAAAAGAAAATTGCATTTATTCTGCTTATCAATGAAGTTAAATGTTTCAGGAAATTTAATTAACTGAGCTTATAAATAGGACTGATTGTAGAAGGACACTTAATATGTTGAGTGTGAATTAAGGTAATAGTTTATAATTTTATATTTATAAATAATATGTAAAGATTTATAAATTCAATTTGAAGGCTTACTGAAAACTAGGTTTTTATTGGGTTGGCCAAAAGGTTTGTTTGGTTTTTTCTGTAAGATGGCTCTAGTAGCACTTAGTTGTCTTTAACTTCATTTGAAACAATTTTGTTAGATTGTATTGTGACCACTGTCATATCAGCATGCATTAAAAAAACATAAAGCCTTGACTGGTGTGGCTCAGTGGATTGAATGCCAGCCTGCGAACCAAAGGGTTGCTGGTTCGATTCCCAGTCAGGGCACATTCCTGGGTTGTGGGCCAGGTCCCTGGTGGGGGGCACATGAGAGGCAACCACACATTGATGTTTCTCTCCTTCTCTTTCTCCCTCCCTTCTCTCTCTCTAAAAATAAATAAATACAATCTTTTTTTAAAAAAGAAGAAAAAAAAGATGATTTCTCTACAATTTAGTTGTAAATCCAGATTGGTCCTGGGAGGAGGTTAGTGTAGCTTAAAAAAAAAAAAAAAACACAAAAATGTGTGAATTTTTGTGTAGCCATGTTAATATTGAAGATGGAAGAAAACAAGCAACACTTTTGGCATACTATGCTTCATTATTTCAAGGAAGATAAAAATGCAACTAAAAGACAAAAAAAGATTTGTGCAGTGTATGAAAAAAGTGCTGTGACTGATCAAATGGGTCAAAAGTGATTCACGAAGGTTTGTGTTGGAGATTTCTCGCTGGACAAAGCTGCATGGTCAACTAGGCCAGTTGAAGTTGATAGTGAACAAATTGTGACATTAATTGAGAATGACCAGCGTTATACCACATGGGAGATATTCAACATACTCAAAATATCCAAATCAATAAAGTTATTGCTGAAAATGAAAAATGTGTCTTATTTTACGGAAAAAGAAACAACAATGCATACATTCATTGTATTGTTGATCATTGGATATTCATTTAAAACCACGGTAATATTTCTACATACAGATGCTCCCCTGGGATGTCAGAAGCCCACACTGACATCGCACTCCTTCCCCCATCGGCGCCCTGACTGCCTTTAGCCTCAGCCACTTCCTCAGAAAGGCCTTCCCCAACCCCCCCTCATCTAAATTATACCCCTTCTCCATTGATTTCTCCTAGTGTCCCACACTGTTCCCTCCTAACCCTGCAATTTAGAATTACATACTTAGGTGTGAGTTTGGAGCTAACATCTCTGGTCCCATGAAGCTGTAAGTTTCATGGAAGCAGGGACTGCCTCTGTATGTTCTGGGCTGCATCTGCAGTGTCTGAAAAAGCTAACATGTGGTACGTCATAAGGGTACAATAAAGATCGGACAACTGAAGGGATTTGGGGGACTGAAATAACAAAGCCATGTAGTACACCTGTAATACTAGGCAAGGTGGTTCACATGGTAAATGCCTCTCTTGTTATTTTCACAGTTCAAGGAAATAATGATAATTGCTAGAAGTTATTGAACATTTACTATGTACAGTATGGGACAGGTATTATTGTTCCCAGTTTCCAGATCACTCGGAGGTTTAGAGACATTAGGTAAGTTTGCCTACAGCCAAAGCCTGAGTCAGTGGCAATGCAAGGATTTGAACCCAGATTTTCCCAATTTCTGAGTCCACACTGCAGTATATCAACCTAGGACCATAATTCCTGTATGGTCAGTAGAACAGTACTTGGCACCTAATAAAGGGTTGACAACTTTTAGTGATAATTATTATATCTATATTTTAATAAACCTTTTTCAAAGAAATAGCAATAAAGTTAAAAAGCAGCCTTCTCATAACTGAAGTCATTAAAGAAAATAACTTTTGAAGACACAAACCGTGGAAATGAGATGGTCATTCTAACCTCAAAGGAGTTTAATTCAAATGATCCAATATCTACAGGCTGTTAAAGTCAGATTCCAAGCCCAGTCTAAACAGGGGCCGCAACAAGCAAATTAATTTAAAAAGGAAAGAAAGGAAAAGAAGGCTGCGGGTTAGTGAGTGAAGGCTCACTAACCAGACACTGTGTTGGGTACCTCTACACATGTCTCCTTTTGTCACCCAGAAAATCCAAATTCGGATTATAATATGAAAATAAAGTCTTATTTTTCTAATTTTTCTAAAAGGCCCAGGCCACTTCCCTGGCCTGGCCTTCAAAGAGACCTATTTGTGACTCATACATACAGAGAACATTTTGACAGTTGCCAGATGGGAGTGGGGTTGGAGGGATGGGTGGAAAAGGTAAAGGGAGTAAGAAGGACAGATTGGTAGTTACAGAATTGTCGCGGGGATGTAAAGTACAGCACAGGGAATGCAGGCAATGAGATTGTAATAACTACGCATGGTGTCAGGTGGGTACCAGATTTATCAAGGGGATTACTTTGTAAGTTACACGAATGTCTAATCATTAGAGTGTACACCTGAAGCTGATATAACACTCTGTCATCTGTAATTGAAAAAAAAAGTATTAAAAAGAAAAAAAGCAAGAAGACAAAAGACCAAGAAACCTGTCTGAGTTGGTCAGCATTAGCAGGGGGCAGCGGGAGACCCGTACGGACCATCCACAAGTACCCGCACACAGCTGTGCAAGTGTTTCCCCAGGAAGGTAGGTGCAGCCACCTGAGGACTGTGTTTCACTGAGCGGACACTGGGATTTTAGAGCGGAGCTAAATGACACAGGTCAAGAGAGTGGGACGACAGGCTGAGTGAAGGAGGGGAGGAGAGAGAAGAGGCCCTAGAAGGAGCCAGGGAGAGTGACTTGGGAGAGGGAACTGGCCTGAGAAGCAGCTCACAGAGGAGGCTGGAAAGGCTCTGTAGATGCGCCATGTGCCCTGAGGTCACCTGTTTTCCTCTCCTATAAAGTGAGCACTATTCACCGACTCTTTTAAAACTGGGTCTGTTTTAGGGAAGAGATGTGCTGAGTCTGGCCTCTGGGTGGACTTCAATTCGTAGCAGGGCAGAGCAAGGGGGTTCTCTCATTCAACTGATATTTGCTGCCTGGTTCTCAGAGAAGCACCTGCCTTACTGCCCCAGTCCATCACTTTCATCACCTACTGCCAGCAGCTGGGAAGCATGTGCTAACTGCAAATAAGTATCTACCCGAGGGCACCCAAGGGCTCAACTAAACCTAGATTTATAAAAGGCTACTCCCCGCTCTGCTACTCTCTACGTATAAATTAATCTCTCAACCGTAGCTTCTTATCTGCAGAATGAGGGGCTAAAAAAAGTGATTGCTGAGATCTCCTCTATTTTCCAAGTCTGTACAGCAAAAATAAGTTTCTAAGCAGGACTCCAGCAAACCTGCCAAATGTCCTTGCCAACTATACCATTGGTCTAGTTCTTATCATCTGCTATTTCTAAAACATTTCAAAACATGAGCCAAAATATAGTGATGTGTCTATATATTAAGTCCAATTTACCACTCACTGGAAATTTAATGTCACTTTTTCAATAGTTAATTTTCCATTTAGGACATATACTAAAACAAGTGCAAGATGAGTGTTTGATTTCATGCTGTCGCTGTTAAAACAAAAAAAAGTGGCTATAAAATATGAAACAAAAACAAGTACAAGAAAGAAGTTTCTGAATCAACCATTATAAGGATCAAAGATCTCCTTTGCTAGAGCTACCAAATGTGTTACTTTCTTTTCCTTTTTTAGACCAAAAACAGTATCTACATCTAAAAGCTTCCAAACGTACCTGCTTTTCATAGACTAACCATAGGATGTACTTTGGGGGACACTTACTCATATATTTCTAAATTACTTGGTTTGTTTTCAGCCACGTAGTTGCTTGGGATTAAGCCTTCATTCCTACAACAAAAGACAAAACAAAAATCAAAATATTTGCATGTTTCTGGCATTATCATGGCAACAATTCTTTTAAAATGTCAAGGATGCAGGGGAATCCAATTCATTTTATTGATTAAGTTGTTAAAAGAGGAAAACAGGTTTTCCATTTTCACATTTAACTAAAATCTCTGTATAATAAATACTAAGATTCTGACTTACAATGTGAGTAGTTTAGGATGTTTTATGACACCAGAATCTTTTTAAAGAGGAAAAGGGTCACTTACATGACCATTGGGACGTCATAGTGACTAGGTTAACAACAGAGCAATACAAAGATATTGGCTTAATTCTTTTCAATTGCTGCAGAGTATTTGATAGAGTAAATATTCTAGTTTAGCCACTAGTTTAGTCCCTAGTACAGTGACCTGACTTTTTGTGCACAAGTACGAATATTTCTTACAGACACAAAGTAGGGTCATGGCTGGGTCACTGAGCATGTGCATCTTTCAGCAGATACAGCAAATTGCCTAGAAGGAGGATACACCAATTTACCCACCCATCTGCAGGGCGAGGATGTTCTTTTCCTACACCTTCACCAACATTTGAAACTACAAAATGATCCCCAAGACATATTATTGGGAAATAAAAGCAAGTTGCAGAACAATGCATAAAGTGTGATTAGATTTACATAAATTATATCTGCAAACTATACCATGTATTTGAATATGTGCATGAAAGTGCATTGACAAAGGGAAAAAATGGGACAACTGTAGTACAACAACAAAAAATTTTAGAAAAGAAAGTGCATTGAAGATGCTCATTCACTAAATGAATAATGGTGCTTACTTTGGAGAAAGAGACTGAATTTGGAGATGTGGCAAAGCAGAATTTGGGCAATATTTATCATGTATGCATATTATGAAAAACAATATTCACTTGCTAACTTTGAAGTTAAAATTTAATTGGTTGTTTGTTTGTTTCCATCCGAGTCATGTCAATAGGCCACCTGCAGAAGTGGCTAAACACCCAGTCGTGTACCTGCTCATGTAACTCCCTCCCCACTGAAACGCCTCTGTCACATGTCGAGCCCAAACTAAGAACTGGTAGGACAGCCGAACAATCAGGGAAATATAAAGAAAGAGGGCACGTAATATAGATGCTTCTGGTACTTAGGTACTTATAGTCTCCAGATCGTTTGTAAAAGATTTTTTCTATTTATAACCTCCAAATCCTGATGGAGATCAGAATCAGTGCCAGCACGCTCTCCCAGGGAGCCCCGAAACTCCTCAGAACCCTTCTCTACCCAGGACTCAGTCAGGCATCGACAGTCCGTTGCAACCGACATGAAGTCTGCCTGCGTCCAAGGGTCTTCTTTCCTTTCCTACTTAATTCACACCTACTTCCAAAACTAGTCATCGTGGAAATGTAAAAATAAGTAAGATACTCTTTCTGTTCCTACCTCAGAGCGTAACAGGAAAAACAAGGTCAAATTCCCAGAGAAAGTATAAATCTCAGTAAGAACCAATGTAGGAGTTATTATTCCCATTTACAAAGAAAGAAGTAAAAACTTATTAAAAATGGAACTAGCATATGATCCAGGACTTCCACTTCTAGTTATATATCTAAAGGGAAAAAACACTAATTCAAAAAGATATGTGTACCCCAATTTTCATTGCAGCATTAATTTCAATAGCCAAGATATATATATGGAACCAACTTAATTACCCATTGATGGAAGAACGGATAAAGAAAATGTGAAAAACTGGAATTATCTTCTGGAGGGTGGGGCCCTTGTAGTACAGGCTTCCCCTACTAGGTGAGTGTTCTGGGAACCCATGTGTATCAGTGTACCTGCTGGTATTGTTGTGAGAGGCTGCATACGGCTTCAGTGAAGTTTTTTTTGAAGACTCTTTGACCCTGTTCGCCCATTTCACAATGGGTGATTTAGGAGCACACCTGCCCACACTGAGCTGAGTGTTCAGCATTTTTTGACCAAAAACTGCATGCCTCCTGTGCCCCACACTCCCTATTCACCTGATCTCACCCTGAGTGACTTTTTTGTTTGTTCGTTTCCCTGGATGAAGAAAGTCCTCAAAGGGAAACATTTTACCGATGTGGAAGAAGTGAAACAAAAAATGGTAGAAGCCCGAAAAGGCATCAAAATCGATGAGTTCAAAAAATTGTTTTGAGCAGTGGAAAAAACATCTTGGTAGGTATATTGCATGAAATGGAGAGTACTTTGAAAGTGACTGAAATTTAAACATGTAAGAATATTCAATTTTTATAAATAAATTCCTTTTGGGGAGGGTTTCTCCTCATTCATGTGTGTGTATGTGTGTATGTGTATCAAGATTTATATATATATATAAATAAATACATATAAATGTATATGACAAGATATATACAAATGACAAGGTTTGATTCTTATTTATGGCCAAATCATATAATGAGAATTAGATCTTTCCATTTGTGACAATGTAGATGGAACTTCAGGGCATTATGCTAAGTAAAATAAGGCAGACAGAGAAAGACAAATACTGTATGATGTCACTTATAGGTGGAATCTAAAACTTTATTTTTCATTTAAAAAAATGGTCACAGATAAAGCGAACAGATTGGAGGTTGCCAGAGATGGGGGTGTGGGTGAGGTTGGGGGCAGATGAAGTGGGGGGAGAAGGTCAAAAGATACAAATGCCCAGTGACAAAGCCAGTAAGTCCTGGAGAAGCACACACAGCATGGGGACTAGAGTAAATAGTCCCGTATCACATATTTGAAAGATGAAAAGAAACTGTATCTTTGAAGTTCTCATTACAAGAAAAAAATTCTGAACTATGGTGACAGATGTTAACTAGACTTAATTCTGGTGATCATTTTATGATATATATAAATATTGAATCATTATGTTGTATACCTGGAACTCATATAATGTTATATGTCAATTATAGCTCAATTTAAGCAAAGAAAGGAAAACAGAGAGGGTAAGTGGCTTGCCCAAAGGACCCAATCGAACGTGGCAGCACTGGGATGTGAAGCCGGGTCTCCCTGCTTCTCAGGGTCTGCCGAAATCACAGGGCTGCTGAAATACGTTCTCATTCAGACGGGGAGGCGTGGAGGACAGGTTTCCCCTCACACAGGAGGAAGAGTTATCAGCCTGGAGAAATGGAGCCCTTAAACAGTCTTCTTTATGCTTCAGAAGTCTTTAGGGGACGAAAGAGGAGGAATTTGACAAGGACCAAGCCACCAATCTTACCCCCAACGGTCTCTTGCCTTCCACCAGTGAGTGTTGTACTTCTCCAGTATCAGGTACTCCTCTGCTCTCTTCAATGCTAAGTCACAGGGCTCTCTGGGCAGAAAATCATACAGCGCCTTGACGTGGATCTTCTCTTTAGCGACCTCAGGGGATGGGAGGGGAGGCAGCGGCTTGCGTTTTGATGGTTGCACATGGCCCCTGTTGGACTGGGAAAACCAAGCAGCGAGTAGTTGCACTACTGTTTTAGCAATGTGTCCTAATAAGAAGAGGCAAATCCATGTCTCTGCTTATATTTTGCTTGCTTGTTTGTTTTGTTGATTAGGTTCCAAACTGACAATAACCAGCGGGGAGGGAGGAGGGAGATAACAGGGAAAGAAGGGGAAGGGTCCTCAAGGAACATGAATAAAGGACCCATGGACAAAGCCAAAGAGGGGAAGGAGTGAGGGTGGGAGGTGGGGGTGGGCCAGGAGGGGGAAAGTGGTGGCGGGAAAATGGAGACAACTGTACTTGAACAATAATAAAAAGAAGAAGGAGAAGGAAAAGAAGAAGAAGAGGAAGGAGGAGAAGGAGGAGGAGGAGAAGGAGGAGGAGGAGAAGGAGGAGGAGAAGAAGAAGGAGAAGGAGAAGCGGCAGCAGTGGCATAGAGCTTATTTGCCTGCTGCCTTCCTCCTTCTGTTCAGCTGTACCAAGGCAGAAGCCAGAGTGCCATAAACATAGGAAATGACCAACTATCGCACCCAGTAACACACTAATCGTTTTATAAGTTTTCAAAAGCACAAATTCTCTTGTCAGTATTGCATTATATTTTTTTCAGGTCATAATTCTTAAAACTTGATTTCCCCCCTAAAAGTTTCACTTTGTCTTTAGGATTCTTCTCTCTTGGTAGAAGAAAAGCTCTTTTCTTTCACATGCTGTAAGTTTGGGTTTGGGTTTGGGTTTGCCATGCTTCCTAAGAACACTGTTTCTCCCAACACCAAACTGAAAATTAATCCTGGCCTCAAAATGGCAGTAGCCAGAATACATTTTTTTTTTCTAACTCACCGTCTAGTTCCAAATTCTTCCAAAATATAGCAGAAGGCTATGTTATCTGATCTTTTTCTCTTTTGCTTTCTTCTAGAAAATTCATTTATTAAATGAATGTTTATTGAGCACTTACTATGTTCCAAGCATGGTATTAGGCTCTGGACATGGTGGCAAACAGTATCTCATGGAGCAGACCCTAAAAAAGCAAGCTTCCTCCCTCCCCACCCTCACCCCCCATTGAAATGATACTCACTTGCTTCTTAATTGGCAAGTCACTGAACCACCGCCTGCGATGCTGACTGTATGTTTCTGAAAGTTCTTCATCTTTGCTCAAGCTTATTTGTGTTCTCACTTGCCTAACATTAAAAAATAATCATGTTACGAGTAACTCTTTTTATCCAAGTTATCTATAAACCCACTAGATTGTCACAAAACTCGAACAAAAACCCAGGTCTCTTTTCAAAGGCTTTTTTAAATAAAGAAGACTAACTCCATTTCCTTGGGCAAGTTCCTTGGGCTCTCAGAACTCGATTTTTCTTACCTGGAAACTAGAGATGCAAAGAGCATATAGGGTTGTTGTGAAACCAAATTGAGGAAACACATGTCACGTGCTCTGTACAGGTCTGGTGAATATTAAGGACACAAAATTATAATCATGATCATCAAAAACATACTCTGTGTCAGGCACAGCATTTATTATTTTACATGCATTTCCTCATTTGATGGTATCTGTTGTTGTAAGTAGACATGGTGTAGTAATTAAGAACATGAGTTTGAATCCCAGCTCTACCATTTCACAGTGTGACCTTGGGCAAGCAATGTAACCTCTCTAAGCCTTGATTTCCTCATCTGTAAAATGGAAATCGTAAAAATCCATAGGTGGTTTTGAGAGTTGCTTGAGCTAATAAATGCAAACCTCTAGTGCAGTCTGACATGCGAGACACTCCCATTAAATATTACCTGTGACTATTTCACAGTGCCTTGGATTTTATTATTAGACAATCATTGCTGGACACACTGTATGAAAACAGCCATAGTTGTGGGGAGATATGCAAATGAATAAGACAGAATTCTTGACCATAATGGGTAAAATTATGGAGTGGGACACAGACATATAAATAGCATACATGAAATAAATATTATATAAAGAACAAAATTGCATGCTTTGGGAACACAATTGAAAGAGCAATTAAATCCAAGAGGACTAAGAAAGGATCACAGGAGACCTGACATTTGACCTGTGGTTTTAAACGAAGAGGCATTCAACAGGGAAAAATGGGAGGAGGGTTTCCCAGGGTGGGCAGCAGCAGGTGCCAAAAACTTAATCTTTATTTGATTTAAGTAAGATAATTTGCTTTTTTAAAACCATAAATAAATTCTGAATTTATCAAAATGATGTTTTTGTTCATAATATTCACATTTCACAGTCAACAGGCAATCAAGAAACTGAATAAATCCATTTCCAATACATTGGTCTCAGAAAGTAGACTTACCGCTTCTGCACGGAACAGCAACAGCAACAACAGAAAATCGACTGGATGGTATTATCTGAAAAGCAGAGCATTCTCAACTGTTTAAAGCTGTGGGCCCATGGTATCTGAAAGATGAGGCTGGTGGTGCTATTCCAAAGGAGGAAATCCCCAAGGACAGCGGCGAGAGGAATTGTTAAGAAGCACCGACACCACGCCCTCCTCCACTAGCAGCGGACGAAAGCCTGCCACTACAGCAAATGTGAGTTACTGGCACCCTGAGCAATGTGGTTTTGCTTCTCAGGCTCTTCTCCCCGGGTCTGGTTTGTGCATTTCCTCAGTCTGAGAACAATGACCACTGCATTCTACTTGCCCTTAGTCAGGGCTAATGTCAGCTAACAAATGTACAAAAGAATAGAATTCCAAAACAATGTTCTCGGGAAAATTTGCTAGCAGTGATTTCAAATTAGGTCATCACACTTCCTTAAAACATATTTTAAATATATTAAATAAAATGGTATAAATTTTAAAAATAATAAAATATATTTTTCTATTTAATAGAATATATTCTATAATAATATAATTTAATGTATTTTATACAAAATATATTTTCATATATTTATTTTATTTTTTATATTTTTATATGTATAATTTTTGGCTTTCAAAGTTTCTGTGGATTAAGTCCAATACAAGCTAAACAGTTAAAGAAAAAAACCACATAGCTTAGTAATTTGGGTCATGCTTACACTTTTATCGTCAAGTTTAATCTTTATTTGATTTAAGTTAAAACATGTGCATTTTTTTAAACAAGTAAATTTTAAATTTATCAAAACAATGTTTTATATTCGTAGAATTTGCCTTTCACAGTCCGCTCTTTCTTCTGTTCACACCGGAAAATAAAGTGTTATGAAGGAAGCAGAGTGCGTTGGACATGAGCGTTGGCTTTTTTTTTTAAGATTTTATTTATTTTATTTTTTCAGACAGAGGGGAAAGGACTGAGAAAGTGAGGAAGAGAAATATCAATGTGTGGTTGCCTCTCACGCGCATTCCGTACGGGGGACCTGGCCTGCAACCCAGTCATGGGCCCTGACTGGTAATTGAACCAGTGACCCTTTGGTTCGCAGACCAGTGTTCAGTCCACAAAGCCACACCAGCCACAGCTAAACACAAGCATTAGCTTTGAGGGTAGACAGATCTGGGTTTGAGTCTAAGCTGCGGGGTTGACTACATCTGGGATAAATTCCTTTATTTCTCTAATTCTTTGTTTTTCTATCTGTAAAAATGAGATAATCATACCTACCCTTTTTGAAAAGCCTTACAGGGCAGAGGTTAACCTCTAATTTTGTGGGTTTGGGCAAGTTACTTAATTGTTCTGCACTTACGTTTCCTTATCTGTAAAATGAGAATAATAGCATATTTAGCCTGTGAGATACTGTGAAGATTAATCGAATCAATTCAGGTGAGGTACCTAGAACAATGTCGTGTACACAGTACGAGGGTAATCAAGAAGACCTGTGATTGTTATAGGGTTTTTGAGAAGATTAAATTAGTGTCACCTCTAAAGTCCTGAAACACAGAAGAAGGGCACAGAGTGAAGACACCCAGCAGGGTCCATCCATTGGCATCAAAGTCCTCTTTGTCCCCATTGTGAAGCACCAACCCGATTCCCTCCTGGTAATCAGGAGTTTCACTCCCTCTATGCCCATCGGTCCAAAACAGCCAGAGGGCATTCAACCTCCATTATTCCCTAAGAAAAGTTTTCTTCTCTTGGACACTGAAATCTCCAAACCCAAGGTCAGAGGGAAAGAGAACAACAGTACTCCAATGGGTTTTTAGGTTGAATGGTGAGAGGGGCCTCTCCAATCCTTCCTCCTTTGTTCCCAGACTGATGCGTTCTGGCCAGATATTTGCTGCCGATCTAAGACATTTACTGCATCTTACTGGACACCACTCCAGCTTTGCAAGACGTTCTCTCCTAGATATTATACTAATTGAGCCGTTAGCAGACCCTTCCTCTGTTGTATCAAGCCAGCTGCTTCTGAACTATGGGACACACTGTAAGAGTATTTAGAGAACCATTGAGCAATCATCAACGAAACCAAGAAGAGGATGACTCCACAAAAAGAGATCACCTTGTAGGTATCTTTCCCCACTGCAAGAGTTTCAGATACATTCCGTTCCCCCAGATCTCCTTGGCACTGGTCTCCTGATCCTGTTCTTTCAGCGTTCCCAACCAGCAGGCCAACTTTTTGCCATTGCCCATGAGTCAATGCACGTCAGTGCTGAGACTATCGTGCCCTAATGAAGTGAAGAGACTGATGTACTTAGAGGACTGTATTTCAGCACTCTCTTTCAGGCTGCCTCTGCATGGAGGCTAGCTACCCCATTTAATCCCTACAGGTCATCTTTCCAGGGTAGAATAGGGGTGATAGGAACAAAGCAATTAAGCAAAATAATTAATATATATTAGTTCCCTTTCCTTTGACTGAAGTTGACCTTCTAAACCTAGACTCATGTATCAGTTACTTGCCTTTCTCTGATTTGGACATAATCATTTCTCAATCTTTGGGCTACAGACACATCAGTGGTCCAGTGGACTGTGTTTCTAAAAAATACCGTCTTAGTGCAATCCCAGGCAATTTACTTATCTTTGCTCCCATTGCTGTTTCACCACTCACTCCGATTTAGTCACTTTCACTCTTCCTTTTCCTGTACCCAGAAACTACTCATTTTCCAAGGACCATCCCAAGGTTTATTTCTGGAGACTAAAATAAAATGAATTTAAGTCCCCAAAATCTGCACAACATTCTGCATTATTAAGTGTTTGGATTTCAACTGCTTTTGACTGTGTGTCAGTTTTCGCCTGGTAGTGTTTGCCTGAAGCCACTGCCAAAACACACCTTAGAAAGAGGGTGCATTGGTACTTGGGGTCTCTGTCTACTCTGGAAGGAGTGGTTTTAATTTATATTCATACCAATTTATTCCAGTGTTGTCGTTCAGCCTCAGAGACATCCGTATCTATCCAGGCCAGGAGATGCAAAGTGAAATACAGATTACTAAATGAGCGAAGCAGGCCAAAGTATGGTGTAGATTGTGGCAAAATGCTATGCCAAAGCCCCATGTGAAAGTTTTCAAATTCAATTTTTTTTAAGATTTTATTTATTTGTTTTTAGAGAGATAGGAAGGGAGGGAGAAAGAGAGGGAGAGAAACATCAATGTATGAGAGATCCATCAATAGGCTGCCTCTCGCACACCTCCAACTGGGAACCTGGCCCACAATGCAGGTATGTGCTGTGACTGGAATCAAACCAACAACCTTTTGGTTCACAGGCCAGCACTCAGTCCACTGAACCACACCAGCCAGGGCTCAAATACAAAATTTTAAAAATACTCCCTCCCTTTCCCACATCACCATTTTTCTCTCTTTACTGGATCATTCCCATCAGCAAACAAACATGCTGTTACTTCACCCATTAAAAACAAAACAAAACAAACCACGCCTGATCTTATTTCTTCCTTCAGCTTTGCTCCCCATTTCTTTACAATCTAGAAATGAGTACTCTGTACTTGCTGACTCCAATCCTTCCCCTCCCATTTTCTCTGAACCTATTCAAGTTTTTGTCCCTACCCTTTCCCCAAAACAGCTCTCACTAGGGTCACCAGTAACCACCACACTGCTACATGCAATGGCCAAGTCTAAGTCAGAAACTTACTGTACCTCTCAGTAGCATTTGACCCACGTCCTCTTGGTTTTCCTTCTTCTCAGTCTTCCTTGCTGCTTTCTTCTCCTCCTTCTAACCTCTTAGACTGGGTGTGATGCTGGGCTGTCCCAAAGCCTTTGACTTCTTCTCTTCTCTCTGTCCTATTTACCCCATTTAGTGTCTAATTGTTTGTGGTGCCTGAAAACTGTCAGGCAGATTACCCATTGTGCACCTGAAATGTACATATCCTTATTCACCAATGTCACTCTAATAAATTCAATGAAAAATTTTTCATTCAAAAAAATGTTTAAAATCTATCTGCTGAGGACACCTTAATATATACTTCTAACCCAGTTCTAATGAACTCCAGAGTTACATACCCAAATGTAACCTGAAATTTCCCACTGGGATGTCTAGGAAACACCTCATATTAACACAAAGAAATCTCATCTGAACTCTTTATCTTCCTTCTCCTCCAAATGTGCTCTCCTCGCCCTTCGCCAGCTTTTCAATAGCTACATCGTGTTTCCAGGTGCTCAGGCCAACAATCTTAGTGCCACCTTTGACTCCTCTTTCCCACACCCCAAATCAGCCTGTCAGGAAAGTATGCTGACTCTGCCTTCAAAACGCATTCAAGTGTTTCAGTTTGTAATGATGAAAAAGTTCTGGAGATGGATGGTGACACCATGGCTGTACCACCTGTGACCGTACTCAATGCCACTGGGCTGTATACTTACAACTGGTTAAAATGGTAGATTTCATGCTTTAATTTTTGTTTTGTTTTATTTATGTATTCGACTATTTTGTTTCATTTATGTTTTATTTCACACTATTTAAAACACACACAGAATCTTACTGCTTTCCCCCACCCTCCCATTACTGCCATGGTCTAAGCCCCCACCAGCTCATCTGGATTATAGCAACAGCCTCCCAACTTCTTCCTGCTTCTTCCCAGAACCCCCTATGGTTTATTCTCAAGACCGTGGCCAGAGTGATTAATTTACAACCCAGACAGGATCATGGTCCTCCTTACGTCCAAACCTCACATTAGCTCCCACTTCACTTGAGTTATAGCCACATTTCTCACAATAGCGTGTGAGAGCCCTTGTGGTCTAGCTCCTGTGGCCACTCACTTCTCTCCCACGTGCCGCTGCTCATTCTCTCCGGCCACACTGCCCTCACCGTGCTTCTGGCACACACCCAGCCTGCTCTTCCCGTGGGCTCTCGGCTTCTGTTCGCCTGGAGCTCTGTTCCCCCGGGGCTCAACCTTCTTCACTCCACTGCTTCGAGTCTGCTCAAATCTCTCCTTCTCAAACACCCTGGACGACTATTACTGCCACTCGTACTCCCTAACTTTGGCATTACTTACTGTGCTTTA